CATTATAACAGATCATTTTCTAAAATGTTCTGTATCTTCTAGAATCACTTATCCTGCCTGTTTTTGATGGTCCAGATGACCTAAGTCCTACCTCCTTTTCTTTCTCATATGAAGAAGTTTCCTTATTGCCCTTGTTATTATTATAAAAAAGTACCTGCAGGTCACCTGTATTTGTAGTCTTTCTGTGTTTACTAAAGGGTGATGCTCACCATTCCTTTTGTCCTGTAGTAAGGGGCAGCGTCACTCTGTCTCCCTAAGGCTAGAGGGATGAAATGGGGTTTAAGCCACAAGGCCAGGGTTGATAGTAGTATTTGTAAGTGGATAGCATCCCAGGGTAAAACACTGCGTCCTTCTGGCATCTGGGACTCCTCATGTAGGATTTTGGAAATTTGTTTTTGCTGCATTTAGCCAGTTTTCCTTCTCTTTGGCTTGATAATCATAAATTTCTTTGGGCAGAGCCATCAAGTACACTACTTCATTTGGGACCTTCATTCACAAGGAGATGGGGGTCTTCTAATGTTACTATCATATTAGCTGTAGTCTTTGGTGTTTGAGGGTGAGACTACGGAGAGTTCCTGTGTTTTCCTCCTTTGTCCACATAACATGAATAGGGTTGCATGGTCATTCACTCTCTTTTGCAGGTTATAGTGTGTAATCTTTCTCCTTCTTCCTCTTGTTCTTCTTCTTCTCCCCCCATCCCCCGCTTTTTTTTTTTTTTTTTTTTTTTGGGCGCACCCGATCAGGTTCAGGATATAGGTTGACCAGACATTATCCGATCCCTGTATTTTGTACCTCCCTTGGACATAGTGTCCATCAGTCCTGTCATTAAGATGTGTCGCCATTCTGTCATATGTGATGGTCTTCCATCCCATGGTATTTGTCCTGTGTTGGTAAGGACAGTGTTTCTCTGTATATGTTGACAATAGGCAGCAGTCCTAATTTTGAATATGGAGGGACAAAGTAAAAGGTGTTTTCTTCCCCCCCCATCAGTATGATGGCTGTGTATTTCTGCGGATGTATTGCATCTTTCTGCTTTGAGCGCCATTGCTTGTGGAAGGTCACGGGCCTCCTTGGATAAGGATTGGTAATGCTTCCTGAGCATTTTTTTAGCTCATTACCCTGGACTGAAAAATACTAGGTACCCCATTGCAAAGAGAGGCCAAGTGTCAGCCATATTACTTCCCTTTCGTCTCTCTCTCTCTTTTTAGAAGATTGTTTATTTACTTTCAACTGATAGACGTGTCATAAGACGGAATGGCCAGAGATATTTTTTAAATGATTCTTCTTTATTCACCCTAGTATTTTGTTCATTCTTAATAGAGTTGGATGTTCTCTTATACATGAGTATACTCATTTGGAAAAAGTGCAGTCATGTTTTATTTTTTTTCAGATTTAGCTAGGCCTTTCAAGTCACGTAACATATCCTTGCCTAAGACTTCCCAGAAAGTGACTGCGAGGGAGATGTGCTGGTCTGGGGTTGTGTTCCTCGGTCTGTTCTCTGCAGTGTGGTCCTGTAGTTCCAAGTGTACAAAATGATGTGCCTTGAAGAACTGTTTGGATCTGAGTTCTTAATGGTTTTAAATACGTTACTGCTTGGAGACCAATTAAGTGGCATTACTCTCACCCCTAATTTTACTTCTAGTGTCATCTGAAGTATCTTCCTCTGACCTTCTCTCAAAAAAAAAAAAATCCCCAAACCACAATCATAACAAAATCCCAAAAAAGCCAACTGTGAAGGCCAACTCTGACTGCCTCTGCTGTACAGTTTGTGTCACTAGCTTTGGACGTGTTGCTTAATTGGTGCTTTTTATGTATACAGTATTTAGTGGGGCAGCCCTGTGAGAGAGCCTCTGAAACACATAGCTTTTTCAGTCAGTTAGCTGCAGACCACACATTGTATCTTTTGTTTTTTTTCTTATCTGTCCCCGAGGTGAGACTGTGTATTTAGTTACTTAAGAACACTTGCAAAGTGGGTTGTTTTCCTCCTTTATTTTCATCTAACCATTGGAACGAAAACTGGGCTTTACTTCTCATAATAATAGTAAGTTACTGTTTTCCTACTTTTGTGTTCCTGTCTGTGGGCAGATGGGGAGCTCACGTCCAGTAATGGCACTGGGACTAGGCAGGGCTCAGGCTTACTCTGTAGCTGACACATTGCTTTAGAGACGATTTCTACTCTAAGCGAAGCCTGGTGTCTGTAACACGTGATAAACCAGATGTTTAAATTTATTTAATCTTTTTTACAGTATGCGTTTAACAAGATGTATCTGTGTGTTTTATTAGAATGATCTGCAGATACAACTGCAACTAAAAAACAAAGAGAGAAAAACAAAGCCTTTCTTTCTAGTTTTGAAAAATAGGTGTTACCTCCCCCCCCCTTCATTGGAGTTGATTTAGAGTGCCAGGAAGCATTTTTGAAAGTATAGTAATACAATCAAGAATTAATCATTTTGAAACTCAGATTTGGTTTTTAATTCTTGAAAGTTATTTCTGAGGATGTACGTGCCCCATTGGTTTTCTGGGGTACTTGGATATCAAACCATTTGGAAGCGATAATAAGAAATTGGTATAAAGTGTGAAATTATAAAATAGAAAAATGATGTGCTAGTGAAGAAATTACCCATTTATCATTGAAGATCATCTACAGTGATGATAGGAAGTGTAATTTTGGATATTCTAAGGAAAAATGGGGTGTTGGCACAGGTACCATGTTGAAATTGGCACACACAGATTTTGTCTGAAGAGCACTCCCCAACATGGAGATGCTTAGAAGATAAAGAAGCTGATGGGATTGATTATTTTAAAATGCTAGATGTTTTTTTCTCTTCTTAAAAAGGTAATTGGAATAAAATAACCCTCCTAGTGAAGAAAATGTAAACTTTAATGGAAGTTCAGAATGAAATATTTAAAAAGTGAACATAAAAGATAAGGATTTTTTATTGCAAATCCACAAGGGGGTAGTGATGTTCTATCAAAGATATTTGTGGTGGAAATGTGAGATGATCTCTTAACATTTTAGATTTACAGATAAAACCGGTTTGTTTGCATTTTAACTTAATAAGATCTTCTTTTTAAAATGTTTATTGGCAAAATTGTTTATTGCTTAAATTAAAAAAAAAAATCCCATTTTGGGTGAATGGCTATTTTAAGCCACATGAATGGTAAGGAAGAGAGGATGTCCTTGTAGTGTTGTGCTTTGCAGAGGTTACCAAGGATCTGGGGGTCACTTATTTTCTAAGAATGTAATAATGTAATAAATTTCCTGGGAAGTGTTAGGCATCTAGGAATCAGTGACTTACGGGTCCTTAGTAAAAGGATTTTGGGAAATGGTGTCTAAACTTTACATAAGTTTATATTACCGGTTGTATTTTCAGCCCTGCCAAGAGATGAAAAATGTGAACAATCCGCACCACTAGCAGCTTTTAATAGTTCTAAGTAAATCAGATTTTTATAATCTCTTTTTTTATTAGTTTATATTACATCATTAGATAAAAGCGTTTTTATCCCCCCTCGCACATAAAAATTCTAGTAGCTTGCCTGAGGTCATTGAGTCCCACCCCATTATATTCAGACTTGGTTAAAATTAGGTGTGGTGTGTGGCAGTACCAGGTAATTTTCAGTGAAGAACTCAAACTGTTATCGTGTGCTCTTCTTTTGAATGTGATGGAGGAAGATTTAAGGTGGGGATGGGACTGTATTTTCCTTATTTAGAGACGCGCTAACCATATTTTTACAAAATACTTTTTTTTTTTTAAAGATTTTTATTTATTTATTTGACAGACAGAGATCACAGGCAGGCAGAGAGGCAGGCAGAGAGAGGAAGGGAAGCAGGCTCCCTGCTGAGCAGAGAGCCTGATGTGGGGCTCGATCCCAGGACCCTGGGATCATGACCTGAGCCGAAGGCAGAGGCTTTAACCCGCTGAGCCACCCAGGCGCCCCGCAAAATACTACTTTTAAGGAGACCATGAAGCTGTTCCGTGGTTTAGAAGTTATGCTTGTTTGTGGCGTACACATTGTGCGGTTTTCATTTTTGGTCTGGGGACAAGGTCAATATAGCTTTTTCTCTTTTTCTCTGTTTTTCTTCCTCCCTGTCCTGAGCAAGGGCTTCTTCTCTTTCATCTCCTTTCCTAAATGAGTGCTGATTTAACATCCCAAAAGGTCCACTGTTTCTTCACAGACTCCCCTGAGCTCTGCTGGGAGCTGAACTATGACGTCAGCATTTTCATTCATGAATTTGCTCTTCTAACTCTCTTTTCTCGTTTTGTATTCCTGAACTGACTTCTGGCACCTGCACAGATCAGTTTACCATTAGTCAGCCCATAAATCAGCGATAAAAGGTAACGCAGAAGATAAGATGCGGGGCTGTTTTGATGGAGCTCTGGTTGCTCCTGCTGATTTCCATCAGTGTAGCTTGGACAGGGTTTCTGGCGAAACAGATTGAAACCTAAAAACAGTCGGTTTAATTACCTCATGGTTTTGTGGGTGAGCTGCGTGGTGAGCGCACTGACACTACAGTTTGGTTCTCCCTGAAGTTCGGCGCGCTCTGCTGCGGCTCCTTTGGTGAAAGTAGTGTTTTCGGCGGTGACTCGGGGGCACCGGAGCATCTGCTCTGTTGCAGAGAGGTGAGGCCCGGCATTAAGTTAGGTTCTACTCCGACGGCTTCTGGAATGCGTTTGGATGCTTTTGGGGGGCGAGGGAGGAGGGCGCCGGGTTGTTCTTGAAATATTTTCGGCAACTCTGCTGCTCGGGACTTAGCTTTCCAGCCCGCCGGGAGCTGCTGTTCTGCACCCCGCGGGCCCGCCGGGGAGGGGGTCTGAGGCGGCTCCTCTCCCCGCCGGTGGCCAGCGCACGCCGGGGGACTCCCTCTCGCTGTGGACCCCCGTTCCAACTGCAGGGAGGTCGCTGCTTGTCATTTCGGACTGCGAGGGAGCAGTTCCTGCGGAAATCTTACTCGGGGTTTTCCTCTGCAGGGCCGGGTTTGAGGCTGAGCCTCCAGCGTGTGGCATCTTCAAGCCTCCTGTAGTTGATGAATGGTGAGCTTTCAAAAAGTTCATTTTCTCTGCTTTCTCGGGGGTTTGTTGACTTTCTAGATATCTAATTGCCAAGAAACCTTCGGAAGTAAAGCGTGTTCTATTTAGAAACCCGTGTGGTTGCAGTGGCTGAGTCAGACGGCGGCCATCTTGACTGACGCCTCGTGCTGCTCCCGAGGCGGCTTCCTCAACCCCGGGGCTACTCAGAGGTGGCGTCTCCCGCGTCCTCGCTGGCTCTGGGCGCCTTTAGGTCGCGCTGGCTGACGGGGAGCAGAGACGCGTGGTCTCTCGTTGAGCTTCGTCCTCTGTCCTTAGGTGCTCGAAGAGAAGAAGAAGTAAGAGCAAGTAGATGGGAACAAGCATTTGAAGATGACTTCGTGTTTATAATTTTTCCTCAGAACTAAGACATTTTAAAATTATTTCCATATAATTTCTATGAAAGAATCTGATTGCAAATACTGTTGAAGAAAGGAGTGTCTCATGGTAGAGGGTCTCTGCAGACGTTCCCTAACGTTCAACCCCGTGTTCTGCGGCAGGACTGAGGACAGTTCCGGGTTCTGACGTCAGAGCTCGGGCCGCGCGGGAGAGCGCGTGGGTGCTGTCAGCCTCGCCGCGGTTCTGCCGTGCCTCGGACCGAGCACTGCTAGATGAGTCCTCTGCTCCGAAAGGCTTTAGGTGTCCTGCGTGGCTTTTAGCACAAGCCCGCCGGTGGCCCCCAGCTCTTGCTCTTCTCTTTCGCAGCCGGGGACCTGGCAGGTAGCCCCAGGGAGCCCAGCTGACGTGTGATTCCTGCTGTTCTTAACGCCGCTTGTGTAGACCCGGGCTAGAAGCCTTAACCCCCGGCTCCCGCAACCCTCTCTGCTCACCAGATTCTCCTTCATTACTCTTGGACCTGTCACAGCTTCTCATCCTGCTTTCCTCGACTTGAGATCTCGTATACTGAGTTGGTTGATAAGTTTGAGACGATTCACGTGTTGGGTAGAGGGTTGTCCTGGTGCTGACTCTGAAGTCTCTTCTCGTCCTGACTTAGTAGGCTGATAGAGGTGAAGTCGGATGTCAGGGGTTTGCCGTCTGGCTGCTTCGCTGGTGCGCACCTGCTCTGTCCTGTGTGACCGTGTCTCCTCTTTTTGAGGTACTCGCCCCAGGTCCAGAATTACTATCGTTGGCTCAGGCTGTGGAGGAGGAATGTGAACGGTGGTCACCGAAGGGCCTTCTTCCTGGCGTATGTAGAGGCCTTGACTTTTTAGGTCTAAACCCGGTCATAAATGTTTACTTTAAAAAATGGAAAAAAATGACTAAATTTGTTAAGGATACACAGCTCAGAAATGTTCCTCCTGCTTGGTTGTTCCCTAGGACACATTTAGCTCTCTAACGTGGAGGAGAGTTCACAGTTGGGAGAAGGAGACTTACATGACATGATTACAGGTGAAGAGGTGTCTGCTAACCCAGACTTTTATGTTTAAAGTAGTCTTACTTATGTTTATCTAGTTGTATTTTCTGGACTTGGTTGATAAAACTTTTATGAAATGTATGGATTGCCAGTAATTCAGTAAACATGACTCTTCCTGTTAAGAAACTCATGGAGGGGCACCTGGGTGGCCTAGTCAGTTGAGCATCCAGCTCTTGATTTTGGCTCAAGTCATGATCTCGGAGTCATGAGATGGAGCCCTGTGTCAGGCTCTGTGCTCAGTGCAGAGTCTGCTTGTCCCTCTCCCTCTGCTTCTCCCCACTGCTCAGGCTCTCTCTCTTTTTCTCACAAAAATAAATAAATAAATAAATAAAATCTTAAAAAAACAAAACGAAAAGAAACTCGTGGATTGGGGAGTTTCGGCGAGTCTGCTAAAATCAGTTGAACAGGATCTTCTCCTGGGCATACTCTTCCATATGCTGCAGGCCTGGCATTTGGAGAGGCCTTGAACATCATTTGTGTTTTAGAAGGTTTTTTTTCATATTTAAAAGTACTGAGGGGCAAGTTAAAGTTCCTGGTGTTCTTGTCAACATTCTCTGCCCTATCCTTACTGTCTCTGCTGTTAGGAAATGTGCCGGTTGTATCATTTGCCTTGACAGAGCTTCTGATGGAGGTTTCTTCCTGATTTAATTTTATTGATAGTGGCCATTGTGTTTGAAAAGAAAGCTATAACAAGCAGAAGGTGGTGAGTGGGCACTCAACATTTTTCAAGTACTTGTTTATCTTCCTAGGGGTCCTCTAGAAATTGATCATAGATTACTTGACCAAATTCAAGGCCCAGAGATTTATTCCAAGCGTCCTGGGAGGCAGGGAATATCTGTCTTTCTCCATGGAGCCTGATTATTCTACGTGTGACCCATTGCTGCCTGTCCGGGTGTCTTCTGATGCAAATCTGGTGATAGTGGCAACCTTTCTGGCTGGCTGAGTATCCTTGACAGCTGTTATCTGTCCTCTCCAGGGAATTTTAGTCTCAAGCCTCCGTGGCCATGTCTGGATTTAGCTGTTCTGGTGCTGCTCTGAGTGGTTGTGGGTGTCCCGGCTACCTGCTTCACCGCCCTGCCCCAACACCACCTCCATGAGCGGCTTCGCCCTTATCACTTGGTGAAGGAGCATAAATAGAGACCATTTGTCCAGAAAGAATGGACAAGTCATGATTTTCAGAGTGCTTTTAAAATTCAACAATGGTGAGTGGCGACAGTGTGCAACAGTGTGAATGTACTTAATGCCACTAAATGGTGTCCTCAAAGAGGGTTAATTGGTAAGTTTTAGGTACAGTTTAGTACACACACACAGGCACACACACCACGCTCCAGATGGGTTCAAAACCTAATGAGAAAAGTAGCTTTAAGGTCCTAACAGGAAATATTTGACAGTATTTTCGTATCCCAAGGTGAGGCGTTGTGCCTTAAATAATGTGTCAGAATCTCTCTCTCAAACACAGACACACAGAGTAAGTAAATGATGGTAATCAGGCCCTGAGTTCATTTCTACAGGAAAGTGGATGCTAGGACACTTGATGTCACGGAGGTAACAGGCCCTACTTTAGAGTCATTTTGAGGGCAGGGAACACAAGCCGTTGAGGTTAGTTCAGGGAAGGTGGTTTCTGTGTAAGAGCTAGGAGCACTCTCTGCCTCCCAGGACGGAAACGGAAGTGCAGCCAGAGGGTTCGGGAGCTGCGCCTGGAGACTCTGAGGTAGGAGGCTTTTCCTCCGGAGACCCCGTGGGCTGAGCTGGGGTCTCTGCCGGGATGCGACAGCTCCCAGCTCTGCTGCTCCGTTTCTCCTCGCGGATGAGCTCTCTCTGCTTGCACGCGGCTTCCCTGCTCCACCGTAGCCTGTCGCGGCCCCAAGGTTGGCTCCTGCGTGGGCCAGTGCTCGCCCATCGCCGGGCTCCAGTCCCGAGGGTTCGTACTGGGAATACTCGAGACGGAGAATTGGACTGACTCCTCTCAGCCATTCGCTTTGTTTCCACAGGCCAGGTGTTCGTCCTGGCCTGGCGGAGGAAGGACGACTGGTTAGGCTCTGTCGGTGGTTAGGGTCTGCGACTGCTCAGACGGGTCGAGGGAATTGTGTGAGAAGATTCTGTAGCACCGGGCCCTGGCATCTCCAGCTCTGTCTCCGTTAGCGTGAGGAGAAAGGCTGTTGACTCCCAAATGGACTTCTTTTGTTCGGTTGCTCTCGGGAGTAAACTTTTAGAAGAGAAAACGTTCACGGTGCGTCCTCAGCCTGCCCGCCGAGGTGTGCGGAGTAAGTCAGCCCCGGGCGTGGGAACTGCCCCAGGGCCCGTGCTGTGACCGGTGGTCGGTCTTTGCCTCGTGTGGTTCTCGGGTAGAGTGAGGCAGCCTGGGATGTCCGTGTCATCTGAGGTTTTCCACTGGTCACATGCTCGGGTGGCCTTCCTCCCTGTTCTCTGCGCTGTGAACCACTCCACTCAACGGCCTGGAAACACATCCTTAGTGAGAAAGGCGGACGCTACGTGGTGTGGGGGAAGGAAACAGAACGGCCTCTCTTTAAGTGTATGCGGCCGCCGGGATGCACGCTTGTTTGGCTTTTCCTTGATCTGTCCATGGTGCCTCAGAGCTGGTTTTTCTTGGTTTGTCATGCTGGCGGGGGCACGGCTGTGAGGGGCCCGCAGTGCGCATGCCCTTGCCTAGTGACGGACGCCTCACGGTGATGACCATTGAGTATGTTGAGAAAAGCAGTACTTGGTATGTTCTGCTTAACAAGAGAGTAACGTATGTAATGGTTGATTGATTGATTGATTTAGTAGGCTCCAGTGCCAGCATGGAGCCTGATGTGGGGCTCCATCTCATGACTCCAAGATCAAGACCTGAGCTGAGATCAAGAGTTAGACTCTTAACTGACTGAGCCACCCAGGCACCCAGAGGTATATAATGTTTCATTTTTTATTTTTTTAAGATTGTATTTATTTATTTGGCAGAGAGAGAGATCACAAGTAGGCAGAGAGGCAGGCAGAGAGAGAGGGGGAAGCGGGCTCCCCGCTGAGCAGAGAGCCCGATGCGGGGCTCCATCTCAGGACCCTGAGATCATGACCTGAGCCGAAGGCAGACGCTTCATCCACTGAGCCACCCAGGTGCCTAGTATGTAATGTTTTAAAGAAACATAAAACCATCAGAGTAGTTTTTAGTAGTTAAAGGGATTTGATTCCTTTTTTAAATAACAACTTTATTGAGATCTGATTCATCTATGATAAAATTCAAAATTCACCCTTTAAAATACACAATTTAGTGGTTTTTAGTATATTTACATAGTTGTGCAACTGTCACCACTATCTAATTCTAGAACATCTTCACCACTCCACAAGAAAACCTCTGCCTGTTAGTAGCAACTCTCTATTCCTCCCTCTTCCCTGTTCTAGGTCATCATTCATCTACTCTCTGTCTTTATGGATGTGCCTTTTTTGGACATTTCATATAAATGGAATCCTACAATGTGTGGCCTTTTATGACTGGCTTCTTTCCCAAAGCACAGTGGTTTTAAGGTATGTCTATGTTGTAGTATATATGAGAACTTCA